AATCAGAGAGGTTAAAGGTTTATGTCCATACAAATATCTGTGCTTGGATGTTTATAGCAGCTATGGATTATTATTATTATTATTATTATTTTTAGTTGCATATGGACAAAATATCTCTTATTTGTTTTTATATGGTACTGAGGACTGAACCCAGTGCCTCACACATGTGAGGCAAGCACTCTACCAGCCTTGTAGCTATGCATTATTGCCAAAAATTGAACCTATCTAAATGCTTTCCATCAGTGAATGGATAAATAGTGATATATATTGAAAATGGAACATTATAAAAAGAAAAGTCATAAATGAAAAGTCAAGGAAGAAATCTAAATGCTTGTTGCTACACTAAAGAAGTCTATCTGAAAAGGCCATATACTATGTATCACATGATTCTGATACAATATCTGAAAAAGATAGTATAATAGGGGTAATTATTGATGGTTACCAGGAGTTTGGTAGGCAGCAAGGAGGGATAAATAGGCAAAGCAAGGATGATTTTAGAACCATGAAACTATTTTGTATGCTACTTTAGTACTGTACATATGTTATCATACACTAGTCAAAGCCATAGATGTACAACACAATGTGAACTACAAATGTTAATAAGGTATCGATATTGGCTTATCAACTTGGCAAATGTATGGAAATAATGTTAATAATAGATGAAACTGGAGGAGGGAGGGCGGAAGAATATATGGGAATTCTGTATACATTCTGCTTAATTGTTCAGTATTTCTGGAACTGATCAGAAAATAGGCTGTACATTTGTACAGAGGCATTCGATGTCTGAGTTTTGCCAAATTTCTCATCCGTTCTCAGGAGAAAACATGCCATGTTTAGTACAGAATTCTTTTAGGGGACAGGCAACATATAATATATATTGTATGGTCCTAAGAAAACAAAAACAAAAACAAAAAACAGAACCAAGCCCTATTATGGATACTGTACAACATACAAAGTGTTGGTAAGTCTTAAGATCAGAACTTGAGGAGTTTTCACAGAGAAAACCCTCTTTAATCAGAAGATGTATCCCTGAATCACATAATGTTAACGTCTCAGATATTTCCATTATAACCTTTTCTATTCAGTACCAACACAAAGGAATAATCTTTCCTAATTTACAACATCAGGGATTTCTCTTGACAGGTTTGAACTCATACTAATAGATTCACACTAGTAGACTTCTTTAGCTTCACATTTTGTTCTTAAGACTCAGAAATTTATTTTTGTGTTATTTTGTTTAAATTTATTTTGTGTTAATTCTTAACTGCAATATAAAAAAGCATAATTAGCAAATTTATTGATTAATTTATGAATTTATAAATAAATTTGCTATGTACAAGCACAGCTTAATTTAGCAATTTTATTCTTAATGATTATTTGTACTTTTGATGTTTAACAATTTTGAACAGTGTAGCTATGAAAGATCTTTTGAATATTTCTTGGCATACTTATCAAGTATGTCGTATCTAAAACTGTTGTTGCTATAATCATCTTGCATTTAAATGTTGATTTCACAGAGATTGTTAGTTATCAGAATCTAGGTGAAGGAAAACGGGGGAAATTTGGACCAACAGGTACTAAATTATGATTAGACAGGAACAAGAAATTCGGGTATGCTATTTAATAGGAGGGTTACTATAAATAATAGAAATATGATGTCATTTTAAAAATAGGAAGAAAAGATTTTAAAAGATTTTACAATAAATGATGTGTTTGATATGTCTCATCTTATTTAAATATCCTACAGTTTATGCACGTATCAAAACATTATGCCGTCCCATTAATATGTACAATTTTTAAGTATCAGCTAAAATAATTTGATTATAAAAATGATCCCTCAAATCATGCCGTATAACATTAGCATTTATGTCTTGCTCATGTATTTGAGGGTTGGCTGGGATTTGGCCAACATAATCTGGGTTGTAGATTGGCATAAAGCCTTTGCCAAGTGACTTTCATTTTTCTTGGACTGGCAGCTTGCTGGAACATCTTCTCCAGAAAGAAAGAGTGTGTCAGAGAAATCCCAGATATATATGCCCAAACCTCCACTCCAAGCATGTCTTCCAACACTCCAATAAACCACTGCAAATAACACACTGAGTACAAAGGCGTGGGGTACGGACATGCACTCTGTCCATGGTAAGGTCCAAACAAATGATATGGGTAACCCTATTGCAGCAGGGATGGGACAGATGTTCCCATCCTAAAGGTGAGGGGTGAAAGAATAACTTCTGTTGAGTAATATTCCAACCCAGGGGTACGCACAAACTCCCACTATTTCTGTAGTAAGTAAAATTTTACAGGAAACACCCACCTCCCTTCCTTTGCTCAGAGTCCACTCATCACTATCGATTGGAGTTAGTGACACTCTTCTTTCCTACTGATCCTGGGTCTTAGACCTATCTGTTCTTTGTACTCTGGTAATCTGTGTCATACTTATTATGTTTCTTTTGTTCTACATATAAAAATATTTGAAGAAACTACCATTGGTATTTCTGCACAAATATTTACATTTTTTTTAGTTAACTTCACATTTTTCTGAATGTCCATATTCGCCTGGATCACTTTCCTTCTGCATAAATAAGTCTATTATTTTTTATTATGTGCATTTAAAAAACAATAAAATACTTTGTCTAGGAACTTCTATTTTCTTTATTTTGAAGATGAGATTCTACTAATATATTTACTTATTTTATTTCATTATCTGGACATGTTGATTATGTGAGAATCTAGATTGATAGTCATTTATAATCCACACATAAAAAAATCACATTTCCATCCAGCTTCCTTTGTTCCTGTTGAGGCATTAATGGCAGCCTTATTCCTACTCTTTATAGATAATCTTTTTTTTAATTAGTTAAATTAAGATTTTGGCTTTGTATTTAATTTTCAGCTATTGAGTTATGCCTACTTGGAATTTTAATTGAATTTCTCACTCTTGACAGGGCACAACATTTAGAATTTGTGACTTGATGCTATGCAACAGTTTTGGAAAAATTATAGACAATTTTCTATTCATAAATGCACTCATTTTTTCTCCCTCATGGAATTCCAGTTCCATGTACGTTTTACCAGTCATGAGGTATGATACCCCTTAATAATCTTTTCACTATTTTTCATTCCAATATGTATATCAGTCAAAGTGTTTTTGAAAGCCTGTGTTTAGGTTTAATCATTCAAATTTTTTCTTGTTAAATTTATTAAATTCTTAACTACATTATTAATTTTCTCTTTAGAAGAACTAGAATTGGAATTCAATTCTTTGGTACATTTCTACTATTTAGCATGTTTTATATATTGTCTTTTGCTTCTTTTGCAAATGTCCATAGGCTCAACAACATATTATATACAAATCTCAAAATTTCACTATGGAATTTTGGGGTTGTTTTTATTCATCTTGGGCTTTTAAATGGGTCTGAAGGTCCTAATTCAAGTACAGACTAACATAATAAAAGGCTGCAGGAATTTGGGCTAAGGTCTGTTCACCTGTTTTGGTGGAGCCAATAGAGAATGCTCTTCTGTTTCTTTCAACTAAGGACACTTCTTTAAAGCAGTGCTTGAGTTTTAGTGACTATATCCTCATGACCTAGATGAGGACAAAATTTCTATCTAATTATCAAGAAGTTCTGTGTGATGTCAAAAAACTGAGCCAGGCCACTTCAGAGTTTCTAAAGCACCTCTGTGAAGCTGAGTGTTGTTCAGCACATTTGCATCCAGATGTGTCCTCTTACGGCTCCAACTATGGTTTGCCAGCCCTGAAAAATTAAAAATGATATTCTTGGGCTACTTGTTGTCACAGCAACTGCTTGCCTGACTCCTAGGAACGTCAAATTTCACTCTTCACCACACTCTCTGTCTTCAGACCTCAGGTCCTTTATTCCTTACTTTTTATCAGCATATCAGTGCACCAACGCTGTCAGTTTCAGTTTCCCAAGTGAAACATGACTTTTTTTTAGGAGTGGAAACAATTTGATTCTGGAGATTTAGCATAGCAGGAATCTACATTTCCCAAAGACCAGACTTCCAGGTAAAAAGAAAATCTCCCAATGTTAATTTAATAAACAGAAATAGCTCCGGGTTTTGATAAATTCATGTTGCTATACATAATATGTGTATTCTTTCTAAATAGCAGTATAAATTGATATAATTTGAAATGCAATTTTATTGCCATGATGGTAATCCAGAAACTCATTATTAGTGTAGACATTTTTAATATGATAAAGCCTACAGTAATTTCCTTGGCAGAATGTATACAGATATACTGATATATGTATATGCACACTCACACAAACACGTATGTTTTATTTCATAAACATTTCACAGAGGAAGAGCTGGAGCTGATACCATCTGATTGATGTGTATGCTAACAACACAAAGCATTAAAATACAGAAAACTTTAAATTGTCTCATGTGAAATAAAAATATTACCGTAAAAATAGCCATTTTAAGAACTTTTAAGCAAAGAGTAATTGTAGGAGAGATGAAAAGACATACATAAGAAACTGTTTTGTAAAAGATGTTAGAAAAATTTAATATTTTTGCCCCATTAATTGTTAGATCCTTATTTACCACAGAAGAACATTGACTCTCTCCCCCATATCTATAAACAACCACACACACATGACTAATCACATGGAAATACACAAATACACAGGACACACTCACAGAGATAACTTAATAGAACTGTACCACATCAACGTTTCCAGTGAAATACAATTTATTTCATAATATGTATTTTTATACATAGACAAATCTGATCACATTTTAAATAGTGTTATAATGATAATTATCAAAAGAATGCTTTTCTCCAAATAATCACACAGTCCAAGAGATAATGATATATCAAAATAGGTAATTGATTTCATTTATTTTCTCAAATAGTTTGAAACATAGTTGACACCGTTGAAGACATTCAAACATTTCTCCTGTGAAGAATGTTGAAGGTAATTCCAGGGAGACAAGAGGTTAAAGCCAATAGGCTCAGCAGCTGAGGAAATGCCTCAGTAGAAGCCATAGGAATAGTATCTTCTGTAGCAGAGTGGGCGGCAGCATCCATAACCATAGCCACCATAGCCACAGCCTAGGCCACCATAGCCATAGCCACCATAGCCACAGCCATAGCCACAGCCTAGGCCACCGTAACCATAGCCCAGCCCACCATAGTAGTTGCCATAGTAGCAGCTCATGCTGTCAGGAGTGGAACCTTCAGTTCGGGATCAGGACGTAGATGTCTTCAGTCTGGATGTCATTGTCTGCCACCTGCCTTTTATACCTCCTCAGTGCTGGGTGGGGAAAACCACAAGCAATGCTTGGTCATATTGTCTCACTAATGTGACCAAGACAATGTCATGATTATCTTGAATTATTGCAAAACCAAGCCTCATAACTGAGATAATTTTATTCCTACATCAGGATTCTGTGATCCATTTATTGGCCTTTAAAATGAGATTCTTGTTCTATTTTGAATTCTGCATCCCATTCCGTATTTAGTTAATTGAACACATATATCTGATTATACAGTATCCTCTAAATCATAAAAACAGGAAATTCATTTTATTTTTGTTGTGTGTTGTTTCCATTCTTCAATAGAAAAAAAATGTTTTATTTCCTTTCTTCATTTCTTCTTAGTAAATTATTCTTATCTATATTTCAGACTTTCCAGAAAATACATGATCATTAACAGAAATTATATTTGCTCCATGGTTCCCTTCATCATCCCAAATGATCATTGTAGATGCAGATGTCAAACACTCTAAGGTATGGTTGTGTGCTCCATATTGGGCTCATAGCTTTTTTAACAGGTGTCACATTTTTGTCACATTTGATCAAAGATACTGATCCTGAAGTGCTTTGCAGGTTCAGGGATAACATGTCTCTTAAAAAGTGTGTGGATGATACAAACTATTCAGAGCGACCAAACTGTCCAGAAACCAGTTGTTTGTTTCCACAATATTTGGCTCATACATGGAGTGATTCTGGGAACAAAGATAGTCATGAAAAAAAAAATATATTTTTAACATACTACTGACATTTTTTTAAATGTAATTTACACAAAGTAAATTAAACCTTTTATAAAAGGAGAGCTCAATGAATTAGAGAGTCAAGCAGAGAGATAAATCTAAATTATGTTTCACTATTCTAAATGTAGACATGAGAGGGATTGGTAAGGAGGAAGGAGCTTCCACTCTGAATTTGCTGTTACTGAACACAAATGTCCTCTGACTCACAAATCCTGACAGTTCTAGACTTTGTTGTCACTAAATACTGAAGGTAGTCCTAGGTGCGTAGACATTACAAAAACCTGTGTTTTACCATGCTTCTCATTCAGATCATTGGAGAATTCTGAGAGAAATTCACTTAGGTCTACTAGCCTCTTTCAGCTACCAATTGGCATTTATTGTTATAAACATGTGTCAATCATATTTAAAACATTGTATTGTGTGAAATTTATTATTATCTCTGTATTTCTTCAAATTGCAAGGTTTGTTGTCCATATCATGGCATTTAGAAGTGGCAAAATGTCATTGGAGAGAATCCTAGTGTTACAAAATAAAAAAAATAAATAAAACAAATTTTCTTTCCTTTGAAATGGAACAAAAAAATAATGTCTCTTGAGCAGGCATGATACATTGAGTATTATGCATATCACATTGTTTTTCTGAAGCTAATTCTTAAATTTTTACCACATTATTCATTTGCATTTTTAGAAAATAACTAGACCTTAAGTTAGATTCTTTGATACATTTCTCTAAATTTAACACAAACTTAAATATGTGACTGATGTTTGGATTAGCTTTTGTTTTCTGTTGTTTCCTTTACATATTTCTATAGGATTTCATAAGCTCAACATTTTCTATTAAAATTTTAGAGGACCCAGAACAATAGTATATTTCACCATAGAGAACTGTGTTGCCTTTTTGTTTCCTTTGGTCTATAAGAAAAGATCACATTGCCCAAATTCAGATAAGGATTATCATGATATTAGGGCTCTTTGAATTTTGGTTAAGGTCCATTTACCTATTTTGGTATAGCCTATAAGGGATAAGTTTTTGTGTTAACTATTACAGATGGCTCCTCTTAATTTAAATGATCATTTTCTTATTAACTTGATATGAACATGATTTTCAGTATCCTAGTCAAATGGTTCTACTTTGTGTCTCAAGAAATTGACTCTTTAACTCCTAAATTTCTAAAATAGCTCAAGGAGAAACCTGGCTCTATTAAACTCAGTCATCTGTCCACACATCCTTACAAGGATTGTGTCTTTTATGTCTCCACCTATGTTTTTCCAATCAAGAAAAATTAAAAATGGACCTAGAATTCTGCTGGGTGCTCTATGTCATACCAGCCTCTCTCCTGGCTCCTACACTTGAGGACTGTAGAATTTCACCCCTCGTTTCAACACTTTTGCCATCTTAAGAAATCAGTTTCCTTATTCCTTACTTCTCTATCAGCATTTCATTGCATTGAATGCTGTCAGTTTGTTTCCCAAGTGAAACATAATGACTTTAAGGGTGGCAACAATTTGATTCTTGAGAAAATTATCATTTGTAAGCATATATATTTGATAAAGATGAGACTTCTGGGTAAAAATAAAAGCACCCAAATGTTATATAACATAAAAAAGTATCTCCTACTCTTGATAAATTTCTTCTTGCTATGCATAATACATGTATTTTTCTAATGAGATGAATAAATTGATATACGTTGAAATGCTATTTGATTGCCATGATGGTAATCTAGAAGATAATCATTAGTGCTGACATTTTCAATATGATGAAGCCTGCAGTCATTGTTTAGGCAGGAGATATACATCTGCATGTATCCAGCTCTGTTTACGGACATGCACATGCACACACATGCACATTTCTTTTAATTTGAGAAACATTTCAAAGAAGCAGATCTGCAGCTGATATCATCTGACTCCTCAGAATGTAAACAATACAAAGTATACAAATATAGAAAATTTTAAATAATCTGATAAAATACTAACTTATTTGTAGAAAATACCTATTTTAAAAACATATAAGCAAAAAGTGAGTATATAAAAGACGAAAAAACATAGAAAAATTGATTTTGTATGATATTAGAAAGAATTTATGATTTTACCCTATTAATTTTAAGACCCTGTTGGCCATAGAAAACCTCTGATCTGCTTGCTTTGTCTTCCATGTGCACACACACTCTCTCTCCCCAACTTGGGTAAACAAAAACACACACATAACTAATCACATGCAAATACACAATTATACCTGCTATACTGATGGAGACAATTTAGAAGAACTGTAGGAAAGCCATGATTTCAGTGAATAACAATTTATTTAGTACATGTATCTTTTTATACAGTAATTGTGAATCAAATTCAATCAGATTTTACATAGTGTTATAAGGATAATTATCAAAGGAAAATATTTTCTCCAAACTATCACAATCCAAGAGGTAATAATGAACCAACACAGGCATGCTGATTTCATTTGCTTTTCTCAGATAGTTGAGTATATAGTTGATGTTGTTGAAGACATTCAAACATTTTTCATGTGAAGAAAGTTGGAGATGTTTCCAGAGAGACAGGAGGTTAGAGCCAGTAAGCTCAACAGCTAAGGATATTTCTCAGTAGAAGCCATAGGACCAACATCTTCTATAGCAGAGTGGGCGGCAGCATCCATAACCATAGCCACCATAGCCACAGCCTAGGCCACCATAGCCACAGCCACCATAGCCACAGCCATAGCCACAGCCTAGGCCACCATAGCCATAGCCCAGCCCACCATAGTAGTTGCCATAGTAGCAGCTCATGCTGTCAGGAGTGGAACGTTCAGTTCAGGATCAGGATGTAGGTGTCTTGAGTCTGGATGTCACTGTTTGCCACCTGCCTTTTATATACCATGGGTGCTGGGTGGGGAAAACCACAGGCAGGCACAGTCAGATGATCTCACTCATGTGCATCAAACAACATCATGAACATCTTGAATTACAGCAAAAACAAGTCTCATAACTGAGATAATTTTGTTCTTTGTCAGTTTCCATGATCAATTTATGTGCCTTTAAAATGAAATTAAGGTTATATATTAAATGCTGTGTCTCATTCTATATTAATCGAACAAATTATTTTACAGTTAATTGAACTAATATATCTGATGACATAATATAATGTAAATAATAAAACAGGTATTTCATTTGTATTTTTGTTTTCTGTTCTTTCCATTATTCCCTAGAAAGGTCCTTCCTTTCTTCCTTCCTTCATTCCTTCCTTCTTTTCTTTCTTTCTTTCTTTCTTCTTTCTCCTTCCTTCTTTTCTTTCTTTCTTTCTCCTTCCTTCCTTCCTTCCTTCCTTCCTTCCCTCTCTCCCTCCCTCCCTCACTCCCTTTCTTTCTTTCTTTCTCCTTCCTTCCTTCCTTCCTTCCTTCCTTCCTTCCTCCCTCCCTCTGCTTTCTTCTTTGATTCTTTCTCTTTTCTTCTTATGAAATAATCTTATCTATATTTCAGACTTTTCAGAAAATATATGAATCATTAACAGTTAGAAACTATATTTGCTCCATGGTTCCCTTCGCCATCCCAAATGAAGATTCTAGATGTGAATGTCAACCACTCTAAGGTAAGGTTGTTTGTTTCATCTTGGGCTCATGGCTTTTTTAACAGGGGTCACATTTTATCTTACAAATGCCTTGCAGGTTCAGGGATGACATGTCTCTTAAATAGTGTGTGGAAGGTACAAACTATCCAGAGCAACCAACTATCCAGGAATCAGTTATTTGCTTCCACAGTGTTTAGCTCATCCATGAGGCAATGATGGGAACAAAGATACTCAGACTCAGTCATGGAAAGATTTAATTATTTTTTGGTTAATATATTACTGATTATATTATATAATAATATATTATATTAGTATTTATAATATGTGAACAGAATAATATATTCTGTTAAAACATAATTTACACAAAGTAAATTTGACCTATTTTAAGAGGACAGCTGAATGAGTCACAGTCAAGCAGAGAGGTAAATCTAAATGTTGTTCCACCACACCAACACAGGCATTGGAGGGATTGGTAAGGAAGAAAGGAGCTTCCACTCTTCATTTTACAATTGCTGAATCCAAATGTCCTCTGATTCACAAATCCTATCACTTGTGCTCCTCACTGTCACTGAACACTGAAGGTAGTCATAAGTGCATAGACGTGAAAAAATCCAAGTCATTGGAGAATTCTGAGAGAATTCACATATGTCGGCTAGCCTCTTTCATCTATCAATTGGCATTTATTTTTATAAACATGTGTCAATCATGTTTTATAAACACGTGTCAATCATTTTTAAAGCATTGTGTTGCATGAAATTTATGATTATTTCTGTGTTTCCTCCTATTACAATGTTTATTGTTCATATCATGACATTTTAGAAGTGGCAAAAGGATATTGGAGAAGATTTTAGTGTTAAAAAAAAATAAAACTTTTTTTTCTTTTGAAATGGGACAAAAATCATGTTTCTTGAGCAGGTATGAAATATTGAGTATTATGCATATTACATTGTTTTTCTGAAGCTAATTCTTAAATTTTTAACACATTATTCATTTGTATTTTTAGAAAATAACCAGACCTTAAGTTAGATTTTTTGATACATTTCTCTAAAGTTAACACAAACTTCAATATATGACTGATGTTTGAGTTACCTTTTGTTTTCTATTGTTTCCTTTACATATTTCTATAGGTTTTCGTAAGCTCAACATTTTCTATTAAAATTTTACAGACCCCGAACAATATTATATTTAACAATAGAGAGCTATGTTGCCTATTAGAAAAGTTCACATTGCTCAAATTCAAATGAGAACTATCATGAAATTAGGCTCTTGAACTTTGGTTAGAGTACATTTACATATTTTAGTATAGCCTATAGGTCATGAATTTTTGTGTTACCTATTACGGATGACTCTTCATAATTTAAAGGATCATTTTCTCATTAACTTGATATGAACACAATTTTCAATATCATATCCAAATGATTCTGCTTTGTGTCTCAAGAAATCGACTCTTTAACTCCTAAATTTCTAAAACAGCTCAGGGAGAAACCTGGCTCTGTTAAACTCAGTTATCTCTCCACACATTCTTAAAAGGATTCTGTATCTTTTTATGTCTCCACCTATGTTTTTTCAATCAAGAAAAATTCAAAAGGATTTAGAATTCTGCTGGGTACTCTTGTCATACCAACCTCTCTCCTGGCTCCTACACATGAAGAGTGTAGAATTTCACCCCTCTTTTTATTTATTTATTTATTTATTTTTATCACTTTGCCATCTTAAGAAATCAGTTTCCTTATTCCTTACTTCTCTATCAGCATTTCATTGCATTGAATGCTGTCAGTTTGTTTCCCAAAAGAAACATAATGACTTTAAGGGTGGCAACAATTTGATTCTTGAGAAAATTATCATTTGTAGGAATATACATTTGATAAAGATGAGACTTCTGGGTAAAAAAGAAAGCACCTAAATGTTGATATAACATAAAGAAAGTATCTCCTACTTTTGATAAATTTCATCTTGCTATGCATAATACATGAATTTTTTTAAAGAGAAGAATAAATTGATAAATATTTGAAATTCTATTTGATCACCATGATGGTAATCTAGAAGATGATCATTAGTGCTGACATTTTCAATGTGATGAATCCCGCAGTCATTGTTTTGGCAGGAGATAAACATCTATACATATCTATCTCTGTGCGTGCTAGTGCTTGCGCATGCACACACACACTCACATATTTCTTTTAATTTGAGAAACATTTCACAGAGGCAGGGCTGTAGCCAATATCATCTGATCCCTTGGAATGTAAACAACAAAAACTATACAAATATAGAGAATTTTAAATAATCTGATAAAAATACAAACTTATTTGTAAAATATAACTCATTTTAAAACTATAATCAAAGAGTAATTGTAGGAAAGATAAAAAGACATACACAAACAGATTTTGTATTATGTTAGAAAGAATTTCTGATTTTACCTCATTAATTTTAAGACTCTGCTGACCATAGAAGACCTCTGACCTGCTTGCTCTGTCTCTCTAGCATTGCACACGTTCTGTTTCTCTCCTCTTGGGTAAACGAACAGACACACACATGATTAATCACATGCAAACACACAAATATACATGCTACACTGATGGAGACAAGTAAAAATAATAGCAACACCATAATATATCTCATGAAATAAAGTTTATTTAATAATATGGACATTTTAATCAGAAGTTGACAGTCAAATTCAAGCACAATTTACATAGTGCTATAATTATTAAAAAAAAAACCCATTTCTTTAAACTATCACACCATGGAAGACATAAGGTGCATCAAAACTGGTAGCTAATATCATTCATTTTTCTTAGAGAATTTGGAATCAAGTTGTTATTGCTGAAGACATTCAAACATTTCTCATGTAACAAATTTGGAGATGATTCCAGCAAGACAGGAGGTTAAACCACTATGCTCAGAGGGTGAGGATACTCCTCAGTAGAATCCATAGGACCAGCATCTTCTGTAGCAGAGTGGGCGGTAGCATCCATAACCATAGCCACCATAGCCACAGCCATAGCCACCATAGCCACCATAGCCACAGCCATAGCTACAGCCTAGGCCACCATAGCCATAGCCCTGCCCACCATAGTAGTTGCCATAGTAGCAGCTCATGCTGTCAGGAGTGGAACGTTCAGTTCAGGATAAGGATGTAGGTGTCTTGAATCTGGATGTCACTGTCTGCCACCTGCCTTTTATATGCCATGGGTGCTGGGTGGGGAAAACCACAGACAGTGCATGGTCACATTATCTCACTCATGTGCCTCAGACAACATCATGGGTATCTTGATTTATTGCAAAAAACAAGCCTCATAACTGAGATAATTTTGTTCTTATGTCAGGATTCCATGATCTATTCATGGACTTTTTAAGATGAAATTCCTGTTCTATTTTGAATGCCAAGTATTGTTCTACGTATAGTTAATTGAATACTTATGATTATATAGGACCATGTAAGTTATGAAAACAGGTATTTCAATTTGATTTTTGTTTTGTTTTGTTTCCATTCTTAAATAGAAGATGAGATTTTCCTTCCTTCCTTCCTCCCTGCCTACCTTCCTTTCTTCCTTCCTTCGCTTCCTCTCTTCTCCTTATTTTCTCTTCTTCTTTGAAATTATCCTTAATTTATATTTAAAGCTTTCCAGAAAACACATGTTAATTTTCCAACCACATTTGCTCCATGGTTCCCTTTTTAATCCCAAATGATGATAATAGATACAAGAGTAAAGCACTGAAAAGTAAAATTTGGTGCTCCACCCTCAACTCTTACTGTTTTGCAATAAGTGTCACATTCATTCTTTGAAATACCATGGAGGTACAGAATTGGCATGTCTTTTAAAAACTGCATGGATAGGGCTGGAGTTGTGGCTCAGTGTTAGAGAGCTTGCTTCGCATGTTTGATGCACTGGGTTCGATTCTCACCATCACATATAAATAAATTAATAAAATAAAAGTCCATCAACAATCTAAAAAATATCTTTAAAAAAGTGCATGGACAGAACACAGGGACCCAATGAGCCATGCACTCCTTATTTGCTTCCTCAATTTTTAGCTTATGATGAAGTATTGGTGGAAACACTTTTGCAAAGATGTTTTTCTTGAATATCAATAGTTAATTATTCTATAAGTTCAATTTACATCAAATAAATTAGACTGGTTATAAGAGAACAGATCAACATCTGAGACATAGAAAAAACTAAATTATGTTCCATCATTCTTACTGCAGACATTGGAAGGAAGGAAGGGCTTCCACTCTGATTTTATATTTGATGAACTCAAAAGTCCTCTGACTCACAAATTCTGCCAGTTCTGCTCCTTACTGTCACTGCACCCTGAAAATATTCACAGGTGCGTAGATATGACAAAAACTTGCTTTCCATCACCCTTAGGTTCTCATTCAAAACTTTTGTGACTTCTGAAAGAAATTCATAGGTCTGCTAACTTATTTCAGCTACCCATTGACGTTTATTTTTCACTAACAATGTGCCAATAATACTTTCAGTATTATTTTGTATTGTGAGTTACAAAAAACAAGACAAGACTGCAAGTTCTCTTCCTTTTGAAATTGGACTATAAATCATGTTTCTTCAGCAGGTTTAGTATATTTAGTATTAGTGACATTACATTGCATCTCTGAAGCTAAATTTGTTAAATAATTTACTGTTTCATTCATTTGCCTTTTTAAAAGCAAACTAGAATTTTAATTTAATTTTTGGTTCATTTCTACAAGTTTAGTACAAGCTTCAATATGTGGCTTTTGTTATCTGTTGTTTTTTGTGCATATTTCCATGGGAGTACATGACTTCAACCTTGTCTATTAAAATCCTAGAAGATTCAGAACAATATTATATTTCACCTTAGAGAATTGTATTGTTGCCGCTGTTCTTGAACTATTAGAAAATGTCTGAGTGACCCAATTAAAACAAGGATTAATGCAAAATTAACCTCTGAATTTTGGTTAGGTTCCATTTACCTCTTTTGGTCTAGACTGCAGTGAATGCTCTTTTGTCTCCTCTGATAAAGAAGGTTCTTCTTAATTCTAGTGATGATTTTCTCATCACCTTGATAGGAACACCGTTTTTTTATCATTTTTTAATCTCATTTGAAATGATTCTGCTTTGTGTCTTAGGAAATGGACCCCTGTGACTTCCAATTTCTACAATATCGCAAGGACAAACCTGGCTCTGATAAGGTCAGTATTCTCCAAGCACATTCTTGTCAGACTGTGTCTTTGTATGTTTCCAACTATGGTTTGCCAGTCCTGGAAAATTAATGGACTCAAAATTCTGCTGGTCACTCTGTGTCATAGCACTGTCCTGCCTGGCTCCTAGAATGGCCAATTTCACCCCTTCACTCATATTCTCCATCCTTACAATGTTCTCCCCTTATTCCTTATTTTCCCCACTAGTATTTCTTTGCACTTACTGCCGTCAGTTTGTTTCCCAAGTGAAACATAATGGCTTTAAGTGTGCAAAGAATTTGATTCTGAGAAAATTAGCATATGGAATCATGTTCATTTGATGAAGACTCACTCAACTTTGGAATAAAAATGAAAATAAACTACTGCTAATTTGATACTGAGAAAACAGCTCATGGTTTGATAAATTTACCTTACTATTCATGGTACCCCATTTTTCCTAAAGAGAAGAAATTATTATTTATTTTAAAATTATTTATTTTGAAATACTATTGAGTTGCCATGATGATAATACATTATGTCATTTTATTATACACATTTTCAATATGTTAAAGTCTGCAGTTTCTTTTAGGGAGGAGCTGTAGTTACAGATACAGATATAGATATCAAGATATCCATAGAGATAGATGTTCATATATACTAATGTATACATGTGTACATACACATATCTGTACATACACATCTAAACATTTATGTGTCATTGTGTACACACATTTAATTTGAGATACTTTCACTGAGGCTGAGCTATAGATGATATAATCTCACCACTGATGGTGCAAATGACACAAATCTGTAAATACAAAGATTTTTAAATGATCTCATGTTGTATAAAAACATTATTGCATATTATACCCATTTTAAAAAGCTTACAATCAAAGGGTAATTTTAGAGGATATGAAAAGGCATAATTAAACATATTTTTTATGATTCCTGAAAGACTGAATATTTGTATATTAATTTAAATTCCTAATGATCACAAAGTAACTCTAACATTCTCTTTTAGTCTCTCTCTCTCTCTAGCATTTCTATGAACAACACATAAGACTAATCACAAGCACGTGTACCAATACACACTCACACACACAAATGGACACATTTCAATAGAATTGTAAGACAGCAATGTTTCCAGTGAAATACAATTTATTTTATAATATGTATTGTTTACATGTGGAGAGTGAAATCTGATCACAATTTACATAGAGTTACAAAGGTAATTATTAAATGAAAACGTTTCTCTAATAATTACACAATCAAAGAGTTAAGGATGAATTAAAACAGGTGCGCTGATTTCATTCATTTTTCTAAGACACTTTGGTGTATAGTTGGTATTTTTGAAGACATTTAACATTTTTCATGTGAAGAAAGTTGGAGATGATTGCTGTAAGACAAGACATGACAGCCAGTAGCTCAGCAGCTGAGGAAATGCCTCAGTAGAAGCCATAGGAATAGTATCTTCTGCAGCAGAGTGGGCGGCAGCATCCATAACCATAGCCACCATAGCCACCATAGCCACAGCCTAGGCCACCATAGCCATAGCCACCATAGCCACAGCCATAGCCATAGCCTAGACCACCATAGCCACAGCCCAGACCACCATAGTAGTTGCCATAGTAGCAGCTCATGCTGTCAGGAGTGGAGTATTCAGTTCAGGATCAGGATGTAGGTGTCTTGAGTCTGGATGTCACTGTCTGCCACCTGCCTTTTATATGCCATGGGTGCTGGGTGGGGAAAACCACAGGCAATGCATGGTCACATTATCTCACTCATGTGCCTCAGACAACATCATGAATATGTTGACTTATTGCAAAACAAGCCTCATAACTGAGATAATTTTGCTCCTACATCAGGATTCTGCAATTCATTTATGGGCCTTTAAAATGAAATTCTTGTTCTACTTTGAATGCCTTGTCTCTTTTTGTATATAGTTAATTGAGTACCTAAGATATGATTATGTAGTACTGTGTAAATTATGAAAGTAGATATTTCACTTAGATTATTGTTTTGTTTCATCCACCCTTAATAGAAGAATTTCCTTCCTTCCTTCCATCCTTCCTTCCTACCTTCTTTTCATTTTTTCCTTGTGAACTTATTCTTAATTTTTATTTCCAACTTTCAAAAAACACATGACCATGTTTTAGTTAGAAACCACATTTTCTCCATGATTCCCTTTTTCATCCACCACGAATGTTACAAATGCTAAAGCACCCTAAGGTAAGTTGGATGCTATATTCTCAATTCTTCATGTTTTATAATAGCTGTCACATTTATTCTTTAAAATGCCATGCAGATGTAGGAATTTCAGTTTCTGTAAAAGTGCATGGATAGAATAGAGGGACCGAATGAGCCATGAGCTCCTTCTTTTAGAGGAGCTTCCTCATATTTTATCTGATGGTTAAATATTGGTGTAAACAAGGATAATCAGTCATGGAACAATTTTTTTTTGTTTCCTCTTCAATAATTTATAATTTTATTAAAATTTAATTAATAAAAAATAAACTAAACCTATTATAAGAAGATAGATCAACACCTTAGCTAGTCAGAGACAAATCTAAATTATGTTCCATCACTCTTAATGCAGACATTGGAGGAATTGGTAAGAAAGGAAGGAGACTCCATTCAGATTTTATTTTTGCTGAACCCAAAAGTCCTCTGACTCACAACTTTCACCAGTTGTTCTCCTTGCTGTCACTGAACACTGAAAAGAGTCACAGGTACATACACATGATGAAAACCTGCTTTTTCCAAGGTTCTTGTGCAGATCATTTGAGTCTTCTGAGAGAAATTCACATAGATCTGCTTGTGTCTTTCACCTACTAGTTGATATTTATTTTTCATAAACCATATGCCAATAAATTTTAAGTCATTGTATTGTGCGTTGCCAAAAAGAAGATAGCAAATGTTTTATTTTTTGAAACTGAGCAATAAACCAAGTTTCTTAAACAGGGTTGATGCATTTAGTAATAGGCATATTACATTCCTTTTATGATGGAAAATTTGTTAAATAATTTACTATATTATTAATTTGCTTTTTAGAAAAAGAACTACAGTTTTAATTTGATGATTGGTTCATTTTTCCAGTTTTGGTACAAGTTCCAGTTGTGGCTGATGTTATCTCTTGCCTCTTTTGCATATTTCCAAGAGAGTCCATACGTTCAACATTTTCTATGAAAATTTTAGAGGATCCAGAGCAATACTATATTTTACCTTATAAACTAGAGTTGCTATTATTGGTATTGCTCTTGGACTATTAAAAAATGTGTGACTGGCCCAATTCAAACAAGGACTGATACAAAATTAGGCTCTGAATTTTGGTTAGGGTCCACTTCTTTTGGTCTTGTCTATAAACGATGGTCTTTTACATCCTTCTGTTAAGCATTTTAATCTTCTAGTGATGATATTATCATTGTCTTGATACAAACACAGATTTTATTATTTTTCAATCTCATTTGAAATGATTCGGTTTTGTGTCTTAGGAAATGGAGCCCTGTGACTTCCAATTTCTAAAATATCTCAAGGAGAAACCTGGCTTTAGTCAGTATTTTCCCAGCACATTCTGTCAGATTGTGTCTTTATATGTCTCAAAATGTGGTTTGCCGGGCTTGAAAAATTACAAGTGGACTTTGAATTCTGCTACTCTCTGTCACGGCACCATCTTGCCTGCCTCCTAGGCCTGCCAACATCTCAACTTCACCAAATTTCTCTGTCCTCAGAATATTCACCCCATTATTTCTTACTTTCCCCACCAGCCGTTCCACTTAATGCTGTCAGTTTGTTCCCCAGGTGAAACATAACCAATTTAAGAGTGCAAAGAATTTGATTACAAAGTAAATTAGCCTATGTAGGTGTGTACATTGGAAGAGACAGTATTTTGAGATGAAAAATAAAATACGCTAAAGCTAATTTGATACTTGGAAAGTATCTCATGGTTTTGATAAATTATCTTGCTGTATGTACTTGCTAATTTTTCCTAAATACCAAAATAAGTTTACATGTTTTGAAATACTATTTAGTTGTCATGGTGATAGTCCATAATGCCATTATTAGTGCACATATTTTCAATATGATAAAATTTTCAGTCATCTTTTAGGGAGGAGATATAGATACAGATACAAACATAGATATCAATGTCAATATAGAGATAGATATAGATGTCTACATATGTACATATACATATCTAAATAGAGAGATTTATGTATTCCTATGCATATTTATCTCTCAATGCAAACACATAAACAATTAATTTGAGATACTTTTGCAGAGACAGAGGTATAGATGCTATATTACAACCACTGGTGGTGCAAGTGAAATGAAACATTAAACAGAAAGATTTTAAAATGATCTCATGTTGTATACATACACTACTGTATATTAAAAAAAGCCATCCAAAAAACTTTACTAAGAAGAGTAATTTTAGGAGTGATAAAAAGACATATATAAAAAGAGATTTTGTATGATCTCTTAGAAAAGACTTATTTATACTATTAATTTTGGGATTCATAATGACCACAGAAGAATTCAGGCATACTCTTTCTCTCCCATTTCTATAAAACCCCCACACATGATTAATCACATCCAAATATACAAATGGAAATGCTTCACTGATGGGGACAATTGAAAACGATTGCAACAATATTTCCAATGAAATACAGTTTATTTAATAATATGGATGTTTACAAAGAAGTTGACAGTCAAATTCAACCACATTTTATGCAGTGTTTTAATTATCAAAAAAACCCAAAAACATTTCTCCAAACTATCATTCAATCCAAGAGATGAGATAAGAATGAATCAAAACAGGTAGCTGATTTCATTCATTTTTATAAGACTCTTTGGTGTATAGTTGGTATTGTTGAAGGCATTTAACATTTTTCATGTGAAGAAAGTTGGAGATGATTCCAGTAAGACAGGATGTGACAGCCAATAGGCTCAGCAGCTGAGGAAATGCCTCAGTAGAAGCCATAGGAATAGTATCTTCTGCAGCAGAGTGGGCGGCAGCATCCATAACCATAGCCACCACAGCCACCATAGCCACCATAGCCATAGCCACAGCCATAGCCACATCCATAGCCATAGCCTAGGCCACCATAGCCGTAGCCCAGCCCACCATAGTAGTTGCCATAGTAGCAGCTCATGCTGTCAGGAGTGGAACCTTTAGTTCAAGATCAGGACGTAGGTGTCTTGAGTCTGGATGTCACTGTCTGCTACCTGCCTTTTATACCTCCCTGGTGTTGGGTGGGGGAAACCACAGGCAGTGCATGGTCATATTATTTCTCTGATGTGCCCCAGGCAATGTCATGAATGCCTTGAATTATTGCAAAACATAGCACTCATAACTGAGATAATTTTGCCTCTGTGTCAGGATTCAATGATCCATTTATGAGCCTTCGAAATGAAATTTTTGTTCTATTTAGAATGACGTGTATCACTCTACACTTAGTCAATTGGATACTTGTGATCTGATTGTATAGTCCCTTGTGAGTTATGACAACAGGTATTTCATTTTTGTTTTGTTTCCATTCTTCAAAAGAAGGAAAGATTTTCTTTCCCCCACCCTTATTTTTTTTCTTCCTTTCTTCTTTTCTTCCTGTTATAATGTGGATGTCAGGTGTCCCCTCACAGCTCATGTGTGAGACAATGTGTGAGAAGGCTTAGGGATGAAATGACTGGGTTATGAGAGCCTTAGCCCAACCAACTTAATCCCTTGATAAGAATTAATGGAGTGGTAACTGAAGGAGGTACAATGTGGCTGGGGGAGGTGGGTCATTGGTTATATATTTTGTGAGCTCAGTGCATTCTCTCTCTCTGCTTCGTGATTATCATATGAACTGCTTTTCTCCACTCTACTCTCTTGCCATGATGTTCCCTGCCTCACCTGAAACCCTGAGGAATGGAGCCAACTTTTATAGACTGAAACCCCCAAATAAACTCTTTCTCCTCTAAAATTTTTCTTGGTATCTTTTATTCATGGTAGCAAAAAAGCTAACTAAAACACTTCTTTCCTTCCTTCTTGAGAGATTGACTTACCTTATGTTTCAAACTTACCAGAAAATTAATTACTTTTTTATAATTAGAAACTATATTTGTTCCATGGTTCACTTCCTCATCCCAAGTGAAGTTTTTTGGTGCAAGTGTAAAATACTGTAAGGTAAAGTTGAGTGCTCCATCCCCAATTTCTTTTATTTATTTTTTTTTATAGCTGTCACTTTTCCTCCTATAAATGCCGTGCAGTTTCAGGAATGACATGCCTATGGATCGATCCGGGGGACCAAATGAGCCATACACCCCTTCTTTGCTTCCTCTGTTTTGGCTGCTGATGAAGTAGTGGTAGGAACAAGGATACTCAGTCATGAAAAGAATTTTTTTGTTTTGCTAACAATATATACTGATGCTTATTAAAATACAATTTACCTAATGTAAATTATACCTATTATAAAAAAGCTGCTCAATGAGTTAGACAGCCAAACAGAGATAGATCTAAATTATTTTCTTCCACTTTAAATGTAGATATTGCATGTTTTCACAAAAAAAGAAGGAAATTCCACTCTGATTTTACATTTGCCAGACCCAAATGACTCCAGCTTCACAATATACCATTTCTACACTTTGCTACACTGAAACTAGT